CAATGAATCTGGACCCAAGACGGAATGACACCGGCGACAACGCACCGGATGGCAGGTGGGCAGCAGGACGAGACAGGAAATTCAAGTCGATGGTGCATGATCGCAATAAGCGCGCTTTGAAGGCAGAATTCACCAGAATCTTCACTATTACCGACAAGTCTGAGATGCCGGCTGGAATCAAGGCAGTGGTGGCACGTTGGGCCATACACGTCCTTTTAATTTACGTAACTCGGGATGCACTGCGATGCTCAGGGATCATGGCAGACATTGCCGATGCAACTTTGGAATTTGGAGTTGGAGTAGAGGGGTATCCATAACTAATATCACTGGCTGCGTAGATGGGCTTGTTGTAAACTAATAATAATAGGTTTTTTGACACTGGCATTATTCCTGCGCCAGGTATAACTATATGGCTTATAATGTGCATGTGTTTTTTTATGGTTGTCTGTATTTTGCTGTAGGGTGATCGACCTGCTGGCCAATCAAATTCAAGGGCTTTCCTATGGCGAGCCCATTGAGACCATTGCAGTTTTCTCGACCGCGACCTCATCGAATTGATATGTATCGAGATATGGTCCTTCATTCTGCGTGCGTCAGAGTAGAGCAGCCTCCAAGCTGCAACGTGGGTTTCAAGTATGGACCCTTGTCATATGCATACTCCATCGATAGCCAGGCTCACTTTGTACCCGGGTCCTGGTGCTATTGAACAATTGCGCCAAGAGCTTCTTCCTGCTAACTCTATGTCTCTCAAGAATATCGAACATCGTCCAAGAAGGACCAGCAGAATCCTCCTTCCAGAGCACGTTTATTTCAAAACCCATCCGGCATCCATCTTGATCCTCCCGGGATAAGCGGACAGCCAATCTTGAGGTGGAATTACCCACGAGGTCACTGTTGCGGTTTGCACGACAGCGAATATTGATTCATCAATCGCTGGTAATTTGATATTCTAGTGAAGCATCAAACAACTATTGTAGACTACAGGTGCTAGTCTAGCGGATATTCAAACTACAATTAGCATAAATATCCTACGTTATCATGGTCAAGTGACAAGTCCAAAGCCTACGGCAATCGTTCCAGCTCCTTTCCGGACCCCGGGATCGAAGCTGATTGTTCCTCACCACTGTCAGCCGAATCAAACAACACGAGCATCAAACCCCATACAAGCAAATGACACAATCTTCATCAATTCTGGCTTCTCATCCCGTCATCGACAATTGTCGCATCCCCCGAATTCATCATCGCCCATCCGGATCGCACCACGAAGAAATCAATCAATCGATTGATCACGAAATCACCTCAAGTAATACCATTATCAGCACCGATAACATCGTAGAAGTAGAACGGGCCTAGTTCGCATCTAGAAAAATCCTCATCAACCACATGACATGCTCGATCACCGGTTCTCAAGGTACTCCCACTAGTTCCGTCTCTACTGGCCGGGTTGGAAGTGTAAATCGAACTATCTTCCTGATGGTGCGTCTTATGCATTTCCCGGATGCGGGGTAAGGTACTCCCCGGACAACAAGGAGCTAGCCGCTAGACTGAGTAGATTGTAGTTAAACTGTAAACTGTCAACTATGTCTGGACTGTAGGTACTCCTAGGCTCTCGAGATAGATACGAGGATCGTAGAGAGTTACTCCGTAGAAATGAAGGTTGTAGCTTGCAGAGTGAGAACGCAATCTTATCAATTGGCCTCTGGCCTGGGGTGATTAGGCTTATCGCCTGGGGGTGTCGCTATCTCCGCGGATTTTAGTCACGTTTTTATGTTGTTTTATAAATCCTTGGAGGGTCGACTCTGCTTGGAACACTACGCCTCTGGACAGGTACGTGCTGGAAGGACCATTGCACTAAATGTTATAAGAAGTTCACTAAATCCTATAGTTTAATCGAGTCAGATGTCTATAAGTTGTCGAGCTGGATAAACGAGCAGTCACGCCCCCAAACCTAGAACGAGAAACAGGTCAAGTGACTGACCAGTCTATTACTATTGCGGAGAAGAAATGGCCTAGAAGTTCAAGGAGCAGAGCCAGACAGCATCCGACTCGGAATCTCTCGTCGTCCCAGGAGCGACTCGTTCTCTTCCTCCATCTCGCGATCGCTAACTTCCCTCGGCCCAATACCGGCTAGACCCCAGACGGCGGGCCTGCGCCGTGCAAGGAGCTCGGCTGCTTGTCGCTCATCAGAATGCAGATGCGCGCCTGACTTGCGCAGCAAGAGGACATGCTCTGATAGCCCGGCATTGGCGGCGAGGAACAGCGGTGTGCGCCCGTTGCGGTTTCGGATATGCACTGACCCTCCCTGCAGCAGAAGGAAGCGGAGAATCTCGACGGACGGAGAGGTTGCGGCAAGATGCTGCCATTCACGTTAGCTTGTTCTCTGAAGACTCAGAAATAGACGATTTGCGTACGATTGGGGTGTTTCCGGAATAATCTGCGTCGTTCAAGATCCAGTGATGCTCGATCTTGAAGATCTCCTGCACGCGTTCGAAGTCTCCCTGCGCGATCGCATATCCCAGCATGGTGAGCGTCTGCACCCGCTCCGGAAGCGCACCGTCAGGGTGGCGGAACATCGGCTGCGACACTTCAGTCAACTCTCCGCGAAGCGAGACCGACATGGCCTTGGCCACAGACTCGGGTGTGGAGTCTGGAAGAGCCAGAAGGTAGGACATCTTGGTCAGAGCGGCTTCTGTCGTCATATCGAGACCCGCAACGACGCCTGCGCGGGAAAGACTCATTCCCGGCGCATAGACGGGGCTCACGCTGCCGGTCAGGCCTGGTTGTGGTCAGCATCGTTCGTAGCAAATTCTCTGCACGAGAGCTTACATTGAGTGACGTTGACAATGACGATCCCTCTTTTGATCGCGTCGGCAAGCACGTTAGTCATGGCGTTATCTTGGCCGTGGGGTGCGTTTCCCGCGCCAAAGGTCTCCAGCACTAATCCGCGGAGTCCTTCGAGCTTCAGCACGGCGTCCACCATCTCCGGCTTGATGCCAGGAAATATGCGAAGACACGCGACGTGCGTGGTATCCAGATTTGTCTGGATGCTGAAGTGTTCGATATTCTTTGGCCGGTTCACAAGTTCCCAGTTGACATTGGTGCGCATCGACGTCGTCACCGCCAGCGGCGGGCAGTTGGGCGAGTCGAATGCCGCAAAGTCACTGGCCGCCACCTTGCACGACCGGTTGCCCCTGAAGAGCTTGTTGTTGAAATACAGACACACCTCCGGGATCACGAAGTGGCCCGCCACAACCAAGGAGCCCAGGAGGTTATCCGTAGCGTCATTCTGTAGCTCCAGCATCGGAGCCTGTGCTCCCGTAAGAACGACCGTCTTGCCGAGATTCTGGAGCATGAAGCTCAGCGCGGAGCACGTATATGCTAAGCTGTCGGTGCCGTGGAGCACAACAAAGGCATCGAAGAGTGTGTAGTTCCGCTCGATCGTCCGTGCGATCTCGGTCCAACCCTTGGCGTCGATGGAGCTGCTATCCAGTAGCTCCTCGAACTCAAACACTGTGTATCTCACCCGGCGGCCGTACAACGTCTGCGGCGTTCGTAGACTCGGATGCGGTCTGATCTCTCTCGCTGCATTGACCACAACGTCCATCATCGTGGAGGAGGAGCCATCGTTGAAAGTAGGCACGCGGGCCAGGCACTGTTCCTGGAATCCCCGGGCTGGCACAAACCCTGAGGGTGACTGTTTCATGCAAATCGTCCCTCCGGTCATGATAATCAAGACTCTGGACTCGGGGACCGAGTCCGCTTGCTCCTCGAGCAGCTCGGGAATGGTTGCCTCTGCGGCGGTCATTTTGTCAGGCAAACCACTTGATGCGTCAAAGAATAACCGCAGTCTCCAAAGAACTCTACATGCAAGTTCGCCCTCGGAACTTGTCTGAATGTGCCTTGATGTTGATTGCTCACGTCACACAGGCGGGACGCCGATTGCGGGGTGACGATATTTCAATCCAGGCACAAAGTTCATTCAAGACATACCAGTGGTAAGCTTACGAGAGAAAAGAACTCACCCAGCCTTGGATCAGTTCTAGAAGCGCTCACATTCAGATCATTCTGGGGGAGAATTTGGAGTTACTCCAACCAACGGCTGTCTTATTACGTACAGCAGAAGCATCGAGGTCTCGGTGGTTGGCCGTGAATAACCACCGCAGTGAGAGATTTTTTCCTCCGGTAACTTTAAAGCGCGCCCCACTACGGAAATCAGTTGTCAACAATTTCACAGCCTTCAAGCATGGAATATTATCGGCAATAGGACTATCCCTTTTACAGTGTCAGTTGAAGAAATTAGAAAGGCAATATCTACCATTAGACATTCTCGTTTTTGGCTTTTATGCGTTGTACGTGGTATGATGTTGACCAGTTGGCCCTTCGGCATGGAAATTTACAATCCTGTCATGACATTAGAAGCTTCAAGCAATGTAACTTACCCTGAGGAAAGATATACCAATACAGCTACTAAGCTGAAAAATTCTCTTGCCGCATCTCACAACTCATACCGATCATTCATTAGCACCTACGTCGTCTTAGAGCTAGGGCGTGGTTATGTTGGGTAGTGACGGTTCGATCTGATAAGCTATACAAGTACAACTTCAGGCTGCTGATTGACCAGAACAGGCATAGTTATCTGTCACAGGGTCGCTGGATTTCATCCTGCTTCTCTGCCTGCTTCTTTTTCATCTTCTGCCACCCATACAGTCTATAGCGTTGTAGGCCTCCCTTTCATTCGATAGGGATCGGCCCTTCTTACAAGAACGGTTAGTTCACTGGGGACATTGCTTCGGATTACGTGGATGAACTCCTCATTCTGGCGTCGACTGCGCAAGTCATTCCAGACCCATTGATTCTCTATGTAACACGGTAGGGTATCGTCTATATACATTGATCCATGACTTGCTCGAGCTCCGGGCCCTCTGGCACAGTCGAATCCTGCTTCAAGAAACAAGCATAAACGCTATCAAGAAATGACAAGCCCTCTTTCAACCTCATACTTAGTGCTCTGTTTCTGTTTCCGATGCCACTGCATCCTCCAAACAGCTTTGGCTGCCTCGGAAAGATCGTCTGCCTCGAGCGAACCAATCCATCAGGACAATGACGACGACGACACCATACACTGCAGAGACATAATTCATATCTGTCGACGATTTTAGTAAAGGTGTTTACGGTCGAGCAACATAAGAGAACACTTACTCCCTGTTGTGACTGGCATGGTCGCTGGGAAGGAGTACATGACCAGGCAGAAAACAGTCCAAGCGATGGTGACAATGTTGGCCGCGAGGCCCCATTTACCCAGCCAGAATGGTCCACGCTTGATGTTATTGCGGCCACGGTACCAGAGGCAGAGAATCGGACACGAGTACGAAAGATACAGCAATGTGATGCATGCCGTCACCATGCTGTTGAACGCAGTAGACGAACCTAGATAAAGCAGACCCAATACGGCAACGATGAAACAGCTCACAGTGTGTGCCATCAGTGGCACGTCCAGAGTCTTGTTGACTTGAGCAAGCCACTTGTGGCCTGGCAAACCGCGGTCGCGTGCAAACGCCCAGGCAAGACGGGATTGCCATGTATGGCAGGCAATCAGACATCCCATGCCTGTAACAAGCAACAAGGTCTCCAGGACAATAGCGCCAGCCTTGTTCTGGAGAGCCTGGTAGTAAAGCTCCAGGATGGGAACTCCGGTTGCCGTGCTCAAAAGTTTGTTCAGGTCGTTGAGTCCAAAGAACATGGCGATGCAATAGGTCCAGGAAGTGACGAAGCCGATCACTACAGTGGCCATGATCGCAATCGGGATATTCTTCTCGGGATGAGGTACCTCCTCCGCCAAGTGTGTTGCGGAGTCCAAGCAGGCGAAGATCCAGTTCGGGTTGATCAGGCCAACGATAAATGCAATGCCGTCCTGCTTCCATCCTGTGGAATTGACAAAGTGGCCAAAGACGTATGATGCACTGGGATGAGTCTTAGCACAAGCAGGGACCGTCACCAAGATCACCAGGAAGGAGATCAATGAGATGTACAGAGTCGCCTTCGCTACGAGAGGCAGCGATTTCCCGAAGCAGTTGAATAGGTAGCAGAAGAAGTTGATAATCTCATAAGCCACAACCACATGCCATGGCTTAACCGTACTGAATCGCTGTGTCAGCCCGACGCGCAAGACAGCATTTCGGCAGAGAAGAGGGTCGGGGATTTTCAAGCATACAATTCAGGATGACCAAGCTGCCACATGCCGACACCAGCAGACCCAAGACTCAGCGCGACACTGGCACAGGCGAAAATAGCCCCTGCGTAGCCAAACCAGCCCGTGACATAGGACGCAAACCGAGCGTACTTTTTGGGTGCCAGTTCATTAGCCCAGAAGTATTGGCCTCCAGCGTTTGGCATGGCACTGGCAAGCTCCGAGAGCGACGACGCAACACACATGGAAATGAAAGTGATCCACAGCAGACCGTAAACGATGAGGACTGTGCCGCCAGAGTTGATCCCCGTGACTAAGGACGCCGAAATACCAAACCATGAATTCGACATACAAAACGCAATACCAATGAGAGATATCACACCAAAATTGCGCTGCAGGTCCTGTGAGTAGCCCATCTCAGCAAGTCGAATCGCGTCGGCATCGTCGCATCCAGACGAGGTGTCGCTGGACCCGGGCTTGACGCTTGGTTTCTTCTCTAGATCAAGGTTGCTCATCGTTGCGAGCGAAAATCAGCAAAGACAATGGAGGACGGATAGCACTGTAGTCGAATGAGGAATCCAGGCCGAGCTGCTGGGACGTTCGCGTGGGCCGTCGTCAGGAGGCTTTGAATGGGGCCAATTGAAATCACTGTCGCATAAGGGTTGTGAGTATCGTCGTACAAGCCTTCGACTTGGAGGGGCAGGTTGGCCGCTGCGGGATAGCTTAATGTTACTGCTGCTATGGGCGTCGATACTGCTGGACGGAGACGCGATTGGACTGAACCGTTGTTGCAGGCGGAGGCAAAGATCGAGATGGCGATACAGGGTACAACGATACAAGATACCAAACGGGAACAAGGTTACGAAACCGATATTGCCAATTGTCTGCCTGGTTGACTTATCAACAAGGGAAAGTGTTGACGAGAACAAACTGCTAGACAAGCCTTCTTTCACAGGCGATCAAGACAGCAAGGGATGAGCCTGCACTGCAGTGCTAAGGTGGAAAGGTATGCGAAGAAGAGGAGGCTAGGTAAAAAGGGGGCAAAAGAAGTAAGGGAGGATTGGAAAAAGAGACGTGAGAAGGGGACTGAGGGATAAAGGTGAGTTTATAAGCAGTGAAGGACTTTTGCTGGTATTCTCATGCTCACTGGTAGATATCTAGTGCTCGCACTGCTCATTTCCGTTTTGGAGTACAGTGCCCACTTCTCCACTGCTGAACGTTTGATTGTTTGATCCTAAGTATCTGCCTCTGTCCAGAGACAGTTTCCTAATGCAAACTATGTCATAGCCCTGAGAAATCTTTCAATTGATGAACCGAGAGGACCGCTGCATTCCTTTGTAGGTAGAAGCCAGAGAGGAAACGGAGACGAAGCCTAGCGGATCTCTTGCCTGGTTTCTGATAGGATATCCCTTGGGGCACACTTCGAGGCAACTGAGAGGGCGACACCGATTGCATACACCTGGTTAACTCGATCGTTGGCTGACCCTTAAAGATTTTTACTCCAGATGTGGCGCTCCTCTCCACTGCTGCGTGTGGCTCCACTGCAAATTTTTTTGACTGGTTACGGGATGACATAACCGCACTTGCAATGTCTTTTATTGCCAATGAGGGATCCGTGGACTGCTAGTGAAGTATTGGTGCCAACCTACTGTCTCTCGATTGTGTGTGAGGACGTCATTTCCGCCCATGTAGGCTGGTATTCGGGAGTTGTGATCCGTCACGAGATTCGGCTCGGCCTTGAGCAGATTGCTCGTTCGGGCCGACACAATCCTTCACGAGTCACGGCTCTGGTGCTCTTTCACAAGAGATATGAACATGACCCTTGCCAGCAATTACAATTGCATTCAGAGACCAGTAGACCGAAAAATGCTCATATTGATCAGCGTCTCACGAAGTATGCTGTGTTGGAGAGACACTGAGGCATTAATGTTTTGTCGGCTATAGTTCCGAGCTTTCTCCAAGCCTCCCGCGGCGCCAACATGCACGCTTTACAGTTTTCAGACTGGTGCCTGCGGATCTCACCGCAGCCCGGGTCTCTGATTTGTACATTCCGAGGCGATGACGGCATTGTACAAAACGTTGACTAAGTAGTGCCGTTCACCGAGCGGCTTATGAATGTTGCTTCATGCATCTCGATACGAGTAGTCAATACCTGTGGACTCACTCCTAGATGGCTTCCTCCCAATTACCCTGAGCAGGATATCAACTTCCTCACTCCATAGTGCTCGCTGTTATTCTGGTATTGCTGGCTTCAGTTTCAGGGTGTACTTTGTGGTGAATTGACCCCATCGCTTGTAATCTCGTGACAGAATACCTAGACAGGGGAGGTTACGGAATCTCCCCGCAGGCTAGCAGACTAACATAGCAGGCAACGATCCATGCCAAGGCAGGCAATAGTTACCTGGACTAGGGCAAACCTACACCGCAGTCTGCAGATCTCAGATCATACAGAGGAGAGACTTCGCGTTCGCAGATTATTCGACCAGCTTTACCATTCCGAGTGCGACAATTGTAGGCTGTGACCACAGAGCAGGAAGAATGTCATCGACTCTGCCCCGGGAACAGGCGGACGCATGCAAGGATTCATTATTCTTGCACAACAATATCGTATGAACACAGTCACGTCAAACAATAGCATCCCGGGTACTCCCGAGAATACGGAGATGCCTGTTTCATTCGTGGTTGCAGCAGCTCGTGGTGGGATGAACTGGGACAACATTACTCTTTTGGGATAGTGCCCCCCCCCCGAATGGAGACGGGACGCTAATCGCTATATGGTCATGTTTCCCTGTAATAAAAGGCAAGACTGTGAACAGGAGGGTCTTCGACGACTGGATTATTCTGAGATAGTGTGCTGAGGAGAGAATCTCCATTTGGTGAGATCGAGGATGTAAGGAGTGCGGCAGGTCCAACCTCTCATTAATGGCCTGATCAGTCGCGTCGGTCGACTTTCATAAAGTAACTTACCTTTTCCTTGGCTAAATGGAAATTATAGTCCAAGGTGGTATTGGTGTCCAAGAGGCTAACACGCCTGAAGGCTACTGAGCAGGCTTAGTCGAGAGACGAGAAGAGGTTGATGACCCTGAGGACAGCAGCACAGTATACCAAAATCTTTCGTCGTGGTCAAGGATCTGCCAGCATAGAGCCCGTGCGAAGCGTTACAGCTGCGTTTGGGGCTGAAACCCTCAAGACCTTGGTCTGACTTTATGAGTGCAACACGAAACGAAAAAAGATTCAACGCTGTGTCAGGGCTTGGCTGATATAAATAGGATGTAGTGATCACGGGGCTTTAAGGGGAAGGACTTGCCCGGAGTTGCAAAAGTGCAAGGATTTGTAAACAGCGAACCATATTTGAATCATGGAGAAGGGTACGATCAGTATGGTGAAACAGTTTGTGGCAGATATCTTATGGTAACAGGCCACTAGCGGGAAGTGGCAAGAATAAATATAGCTGCATCATAACATATCGAGGAAGGGTAAAGCACGCTGCTCATTCACTGCTATGGGGGGATGAGATTCCGTTGACTCAGACTCAGATCAGGATTGAATCGAGTGCTTGTCTATATCAAGCTTCGTCGGCGAGATGGAGGCTGTTTTGTGTATATCAGGATATGGTGCAATCGGTCCACCGTTCGCGATGTGGCTTTCTGAAATAACTGAGACATGCATCGCGATCGATGAGATCTCAAAGGCGACATCGATTTTGAATTTCCTGGAAGCCGAGCACCATGGAGATGTATAGCAGAATTAACAATATTGATTTTATGTCTTCTTCCATATAAGAGAGCCCGTCGACTGGGCAAGCGCCCCATCCAACCTGCACTGATGTCACTGTGTTTCAGACTTGAGTCTAACAAACTCTCAGAAGCTAGAGAAGAAAGAGACGAAAGGAAATCAGGAAAAAAGGGAGATGAGGCGCAAATATGAAACCGCTAGAAACCGCTAAAAACCGCCGCCAAGCATCAATCTGCGTGGCCAATATCCAATCACCAGTCATAGTCGTCTATTGCCTCCCACTAGTCAGGAACAGGGGAATCATCTTATGATCTTCGCCACGAGCACATGGAGTTGTTCCTTTTGCTACTTTGGCATAGAACATGATGATCAGAGCAATCTACAGATCAAGAAATTGATCGCTCCATCAATGTGGGGATTCTGATTCTCAAGTGGCGGGAAGTATCAACGATCTTCAGGGGCATGCAAGTCTGCAACTTCAACAACGGGATTTCTGAATTCTGAATCATGAATCATGAATCGTGAAGAACAGCACACACAATTAATCAAGGTGGAGATCACTTAAGACGCCGTCGGGGGCGCAGCGCCTCCCTTGACCCCTCTAGTGTGTATTAATCTACTCCGTAGCGTGTTGGTTATCTCGGTAAGAGAGCATCTGCTGGTGTCATGAAACGCCCACCAATAACGCGCATGTGTGTCAGTTTCAAATCATCCTGCTAATTTCATTCTGTTTGATCGTCTCGAGTTTATCAGTCGAATTTCATTGATAAAGGGCCGCTGAACACGATCTTCACACCACTTTAACCCTCAAAGATAGTTTTCCAGCCCCCCCTCTGAGCCCCTCGATCCCGTTTCCCAAACCCCCGCGGCTCGATAGCGCCCGGTTGTTGGGAACCGGTCTGCGATAGTCTGTGTCGTCAGTTATTGGTATTGTTGAGCAGCTTGGAGTCTTGGTCAAGTGGATGTCATAATACGGCATCTTCCTATCATATCGTGGACTTGACTCTGGTGTGGGTGATTGTCGCTCTGGTCAAACACAAAAGGCCTACTTGGGCTCTTAGCAGTCCCAGGCCAAGCACGACCACGTATTGTCTTCAAACTTTCTGCTCAAGGAGAAGACAAGGAAGAAGGGGGTGATTTGAGAAGAATAATAATAGTAGTATAGAATACACACGGGACAGATGAAAGGGTTTCTGGTAAAGTCTTCGCGTAATGATCTGGCGATGCCGCTCATTAATATCTGGAGATTGGATTTTGATATCGCCAGCGACTACAAATTATGACTGCTACCACTAAAAAGCTCAGACCCAAGACTTTCCATAGAGCTAATCGAATTAGGCTCTTAGAAAGTTCATTTGGACTCCAGACATCTTCTCCTTTTATTCGTAGTTGGTTTTATTTAACAGAAAGGATGCTCCATACTTCATAGACACTGGTTTCATTTCCCTTCTTCTGCGTCTTCTTCTACATTGACCTGCGACCATCCCTTGTGCTCCCCCTTCACTCATATTTCATTCACTCTTAGACGCTCTAGTCGTCTGTTCCACTCTTTTGACTACTTTCTCTTCGGAATTCAGTCGTTCTCTATCGCACCGTTGCTTCTCCCACTTCCCTTCGTTCGTTTCCACGCCTCTGGTGATCGGCTGGTCTGAGAGCACAACTGAGCTTTTCGCAATTTTAAACCAAACAACTCTCCATAAAGGGCTTTTGAAAGGTCCTGCATTCCAGTCCCGTTCGTCCACATTACATCTAGTCGACTATCCGGTTTTCCGTCCGTCAA